CGAACAAAGAAGAGTGGGAAAAAACCAAGCTTGCATAGTAACAATTATTGCAGTGAACCACTGACCTTCCCCCGGCACTACCTGGAGACCAGAAGAACTAGATGATGCCTCTATGGCTTGACTCACAGCCAAACACAGACATACCTGTCGTGAGCAACAATACCAGGGAGGTTTTCCTCCCTGGAAAAATCAGCCATACAAGACCGAAAGGTCAGGAATTGCCGAGAAGAAAGCTCAGAAGACAGGAAGAGATAAGGCAGGAGGGTGAATAAGAATGAGAATCACAAGCAGGGAGGGGAAGGGTGCTGTTAAAACGTGGGAACCACATGGAACATCATACAATGTGAATGACTAAATGGAAGCTCAATTTCTCTGTAAAATTTTATTCAAAATGTAAAGACAGTATAATATTTGAATGATTTTTTTTTACATCCAAATCTCTTTATTGGGGGGCACCACCCTCACTGCACAGCCTGTTCATTGGCACTGTTTTCCTGAATCTTGTGGCTTTATCGCGTCTGGGAGCTCCGGCGGGCTAGAGAATGGTTCAATGCAGAGGGCCTCAAATGTGTCATCTGACCGGAAGGCCAGCCCCACGGTGGCCGGAGCCTGGGGTCTTGCTGTCTGACTGGTGAAGCCGCACTCGCCCGGAGTCCTGGCATCCTCCAGGAGCTGGTCGTCCTTGTACAGACGCTGCTCGTCTGGTGGCCCCTAAGGATGCCCTCGAAGATGCGCTTCAGCTCATACACGGTACTCGACTCCTTGGCGTCAGTGAAGACGGTGGTTTTGTGGCGCCGAATCATCAGAAACACGCCCGTCGCGGCGGCTCGAAATAGATTTTCTTTACCAGCTCAGCTAAATTATTGTCTGGTTTGATGAAGACTGTAAGGATATATTGTTGTCATGTGCCATCAAGTCAAGCATGACTCGTAGGACCCTCTGAACAAGGACTCTGAACCTTGCCGTATCCTGAGCCAACCTCGCTGTCTCACACACAACTACCTCCATTGCCACAGTCACTGTAGTCCATTTCATCCAGGGACTTCCTCTTCTGTGCTCACCCTCCATCCTTCCAAGCATGATGTCCTTCTCCATGGACTGTTCCTTCCTGGTGATATGTCCAAAGTATGTACAAAGACGGGACTTCAAAATCCTTGCCTCCAAGGAGCAACTTGGTTTCACTCTCTCCAGGACAGACTTGTTTATTCTCGTAGCAGTCCATGGTATATTCAGTACTCTTTTCTAGCACTACAACTCAAAAGCGTGGATTCTTCTTCTTTCATCCTTAGTCACTGTCCAGCTCTCAGATGTATAGCAAGCAATTGAGAAGACCTAGGCTTGGAACAGGCGTACCTCAGTCTCTAAACTGACACCGTTACTCTTTAGCAGTCTGGAGAGATCCTAGGCAGCAGAGTTTCACAATGCATTTGTCTTTTGATTTCCTGACCTTTGTTGTCAAGAATGTTGATTGTGGAGCCCACCAACATTAGATCATTGACAACCTCAGTGCTTTCTCTTTCTATCACAATATTGCTTATTGTTCTGCTGGTGAGAATCTTTGTTTTCTTGTTGCTGAGATGTAACTCCTATTGAAGGTTGCAGTCTTTGACCTTCTCAGGTTCTCTTCAGTTTTGGCTAGCAAGGTTGTGTCACCTGCATAATGCAGTTTGTTGATGAGTTTTCCTCCAATCCTGATGCCACATTCTTCTTCATAAAGCCCAGCCTCCTGGATAATCCATTCTGCATATCAAGTGAAAACACACGGAGATAGGACACAGAAATAATGGAAACAAAGGTTATGTTGCAAATATGTTTGGTTCATTCCAGAATGCAATGCAATTTTATTTTAGCATTACATTTTAATTCAGTCACCTTGCTGTTGACTGCCTTCGAGTCAAGCACGACTCATAGTGACTCTATTATCAAAAGGCCTGAGCTCTTCTACAAATATGAACACTTATCAAAGTTCATAGATTTTCCAGAGGCATGTTGCTTAGGAAGTAGATGCCACTCCTGCTTCCAAACCTGTCATAGTATTGTATTGTTATGTGCCGTTGAGTCGCCTGTGATGTATAGTGACCCTAAGTACAGCAGCTCTGAACCCTTCCCAGTCACCTTATTAACAACATATGAGAGAAAGCCATAAAATCATGTAAGTAAGTGCATTTAAAGAGTGCCTAAAATCTATCATGATAAACTAACATTAGAAAGGAATCCATGACAACAAGCCTTTCACAAACATTGCAATCAGTGACAAAACATAAGAAGTTTCCTTCAACACCAGCAAGAGGATAAGGATTCTGGTTATTACCACGTTGGTTCAAACCTGTATTGCAATCTTGGATTTTATAGCACATCAAGAAAAATAAACAAGATATGAGAAGTGAAAAGACAAAACAAGTCCAATGGTAACAAATAGGCTCTAACTTTTATCAAGGCTTAAAAGCATATGATTAGCATACAAAGATCAATTGTGTCTCTACAGACATGTTAAGAACAGCTTGAAAATGCAATAACATTTTCCAAAAGAATAAAAGGTATCCACACTAAATTTAATTCAAGTGAACAACTTTCATGAGGTAGTAATATACCAGTTCAAAGATATTTCAGAAACTCAACAAATACTAGTCACATAACATGTTCATTCATAGATGGGAATAGTCATAGGGGACAATCATAGATGACATTTATATGTGTTAAAAATTTTTA